AGAAAATTTTAATTAACTTTGACACATATAGTAATAAATAACATAACAAAAATGGTTAATGACGACAAAAATCAAACTACACCTGCAGGAGCTACACGCTCAAAACAGGTTGCCAAATTCATTTCCGAGAGTGACAGATTAACACGACACTGCACTCGATTTTCATCTTCACCGATTCAAAATATTTCTGAATCGTTATTGGAAATAAAAAAAACAAAATATTGAAAATTTTTGGACTCGTCTCCAAACGGCTCATGACGCCATAGTAGATTATGGCAATTCAGATCTACCACACGATTTTAAATCATCGGCTTACGCACTATAGACTGCTTAGACCAGTACGAAGAAACAAAAGCTATGATTTCTAATCAATTAAAGCTAATAAAAGCGATGGCACCTACTCCACATCCGAGAGTAGAGCTGCCACAAATTCAAAGTCAAGAGGCAAGTTCAGGCATCCATCTCGAGGTGCCCGCATGTGACACAGAAATATGTTATGGAGGTTATGAAGAATGGCCGTCCTTCCGGGACATGTTCACTGCCGTATATATCAACCATCCAAAATTATCAAAAGTGCAAAACTTGTATCACCTCGGATATAAAACTAAAGTTCAAGCAGGCGCAATAGTTAAACAGTTCGCACTAAATGACGACAATTTCAATTTGGCTTGGGAAGCTCTAAAAGCAAGATATGAAAATGAAAGAATAATATAATCGATGAACAAGTAACGACACTAATAAACTTGCCTAAAATTCAGAAAGAAACAAGTGATGAATTTATTAGACTACAATCCACTGTTTCTAATTGTTTGTCGGTTTTATCGACACAAAATATTTCCACAAATAGCTGGGACCCTATACTGGTAAACATATGTACCGCCGCATTACCAGAAAAATCATAAAGAAATGCCCCACGTGGCAACAAATGAAAGACTTTCTAACTACCCAGTACGAAATCGCTGAAAGGGTAGATAAAAAACTAATTAAAACAAAAATTGTTCAACACGACCTAAAAAGAAGCTTCAATAGACCCCAAGCTAGTAGCAAAAACAAATTAAACAGAAGCCTTTACAAAACGCAATCGTTCACATCCGAACAGAATAAACTTGAGTCATGCGTCAACTATACACAAGAGGACATAAACTACAATCTTGCGAGATATTTAAAAAATTACAAATTCACGAAAGAAACAATTTTATAAGATAAAAAAGATTATGTACAAATTGCTTGTCGCATACGCATACTCATAAAAATTGTAAAAACAAATTCAATTGCGTCTACTGTCGAAAAAGACATCACACAATGCTTCACTACAGCACATTTCCCAGTTAGTTCCGGGTTTAGTTTCAACTACAAATCCCAAAAACCACAATACCGAAAATTGCCAAATAACACCATGTTGCTCAAAGGCACAAAACACTCAAACGCTACACTGCGAAATACAAAATAAGGTATTACTACCCACAGCAGTCATCTCCATCGAACATCGAGGAGAACTCTACAAACTTAGAGCCTTAATAGACCAAGGATCACAACGATCCTTCATAGCGTCTAGGGCACAAAATAGGCTACAACTGCCAACAAAACAAGCCAACTTTGAAATCACGGGAATGGGCGGAAGAGTAGTCCAAACCTCAAATAAAATCTGCCCTATTACCCTAATTTCCCCCCATGCGAATAAGCACATACAAGCAGAAGTTATAGTCTTACCGCAACTTACAAATATGCTTCCAAGCTATCACATAAATAGCAAGCATTGTCAAAAGGTTTCACACCTAAAGCTAGAAGATACCAACTGCAACACTCCCGCTCAAATAGATATTCTATTAGGCAGCGATCTCATACCTCAGATAATACTTGAGGGTATTGAGAAAATTTCAAACACACTATTGGCACAAAATACTATTTTCGGTTGGATCCTAAGTGGAATAGTTACGGCACCAGTTACCACTATGACAACTCAAGTTGAGGAAATCTCAAATGAATACCTCAATTCACAATTGAAAAAATTTTGGGAGTTAGAAGAACTTCCCCCCATTTCAATTACAACCCCAGAAGATCAGTATTGTGAAGACTTCTGCAAAGCCACAACTACTCGATCAAATAATGGTCGGCACTTCGTACGACTACCGCTAAAGCCACAATTTTCCAACCCTCCACGAATTGGCAGAAAAATAAAATAAAGTCAGAATTTCCTTTGACATCCCCTATATTAACAAGTAAGGAAGGTCTAAGTTCGGATGTAACCGAACATTTTATACTCTCGCAAAGTCAAATAGTATACTCGTTTGAGATTTCTTTGTGGATTGACTGATATTTTCGGTAGAAGGTCAACTATAGGCACTGGGGTCCACATATTTAGTACTTAGGGGCTTAAACAGTTTTGGTTTGATTTAGACAATTTTTGCCCACAAGGTGGCATACTTTAATCGCATTTTTCACGCAAAGTTTTATCCCGATACAGTCATTGTTGCCTGATTTGCATAGTGGAAAGTGAAAGAATCAGATGGAATTTAAAATGGTGTTATATGGGAAGTAGGCGTGGTTGTAGTCCGATTTCGCCCATTTTCGCACTATAACATAGAAACATGAAAAAAACGTTATGCACCGAATTTGGTTGAAATCGGTTAAGCAGATCTCAAGATATGGGTTTTCACCTAAAAGTGGGCTGTGCCACACCCACTGACTAATTTTGAACGCGGTTCCTATAAAGCCAATTTATACCATCTCTGAGATAAAATTTAATGTCTCTGGCGTGTTTAGTGCTTGATTTATCGCGCTTTTAGTAGTTTTTAACAGTACCGTTATATTGGGAGTGGGCGGAGTTGCCACCCGATTTCAACTATTTTCACACCGTCAATAGAAGTGCTAAAAACATTTGCTCTTATTCAATTTTGTTATTATAGCATTAGCGGTTTAGGAGATATGTGCATTAAACCTATTAGAGGCCGAACCACGCCCACTTTTTAGAAAGGGTTTTAACTGCAGATGCCCCTCCCTAATGTGATCCTGTGTACCAAATAAGAATCTTGTATCTTGTTGTGGAGCTTAGTTATGGCAATTTATTTGTTTTTGATTAATGACGTTTTGTGGGCGTGGCAGTGGTCCTATTACGCCCATCTACAATACCATTCGTCTCACGGTACCAAGGAACATGTCTACCAAGTTTCATAAAGATATCTCAATTTTTACTCAAGTTAGAGCTTGCACGGACGGGCGGACGGACAGACTGTCACCCGGATTTCAACTTGTCTCTTCATCCTGATCATTTATATATACATAACCCTATATCTAACTCGATTAGTTTTAGGTGATACAAACAACCGTTAGGTGAACAAAACTACTGTAGCAACAGGTTGCGAGAGTATAATTAAGGGATCACCATACTCCCAAGGTGATATAGCGATGCTCCTAGATTTGCAAAAAGCAAACGTCGCATTTATGCTCCTCATATCGGTAGTATATGGGAATCAGCTATAAAAAGCTATCCTCCTACTTCAAAAAAGTAGATGTATATTGCAAATACAAATATATCGAATTTACCAAATTACTAACTTGAAAAGAAACCGTTCTCAGTTCACGGCCAATCACTGTACTCTCGCAAGTACCCCTCTAATTTCTTTGTCCTAACATTAGGGCATTTTCTCAAAGGAGCACCCATTCTGGCCATATCTGAGCCAGGCGTGGAGTCGCTAACCTTAATAAACCGATGGTAAAGAAATTTTAAACAAATAATAAAATTATAAAAGAAACAACCGCAAATACAAGTACCGCAAGTACGAAAAGCAACTACAACCTCATATACCCGCAAAATACAGTTGCTTACCTTAAAGCACTTACATTCACATCGAAATGTGTACAAAATATGTTCTTAAAACCAAAGCCATTTTATACGCACAGGATATGGATGTACCACTACTTCATCCCCGTGCCCTCAGCTACTCCATCAGCAGTACGCCGAAAAACATTCCACAACACATAAATGTAATACTAGGCTAAATATTCGCCTAGGGGGCCCAGGATGTTTAAATGAGTTTAAACTCCCTCCTGCAAGTGCACCACTCTACTCGGGAAAAACTGACACACCCTAATGAAACACACCACACCTGTGAACATCTACATCACCTGTCAAATCTATTCGTTAGCACACTGCGCCGCGTAAACAACACATTCGTTTCGTTTTATTAACACATCAATACGAAATCGATAAAGTGCGTTATAATTTGCTTCGATCCTGTAAACGTCAACTGCCATCATTTCGTTCGAAATCAGTTCTACACGGCTTATTTATCATTATTTAAATAAGTGTTAAAGTTAGAATCTTTTGTAACAATAAATAAATTACCACTTATTTCGGATCAGGAAGAAATCTGCTTTTCATTTGTCACATTAACCGCGAGTGTAAGTGCCACATCAAAACTTTACAGTGGTATGCGCTTATCTATTTTATCAGCATCTATCGGTCAATATATTAGAAATCATAATAAAATCCCGATTGAATCTCTTATTAATTATAGTCTATTTTCGTGCCTGTGATTCTCATCCGCAAGTCGGCAAGTTATCGCTTGCACGGATGGTCAGACGTTTAACTATATATCTATCTCGATTGGTTTTAGATGTTACAAACAACCTTTAGGTAACCACTTTTAGGTAAAGTTGCGAAATTATTCGAAGAAACCTAATGAATTACATTAAATATGGTATGTGATTAACTTATGTATATTATGAGTCGTAACCTCACTTAGTTTATTTACTACAATACATTTTGCATGTCCGAAATAATAATATAATATTAAGGTAAACTTGAATAACTGAACTGAGATATACCTATGTCATATAAACTAAATCAAGGGGCTAAATTTAATACATAGGATATATACGGAGAATATTAACCAACAAAGGATGGGAAATCTAAAATTAATAATGGACTAATGAAAATCATTATATGTATGTAGTACAATATATGGGAGCTGGGATAATTCGATGCTCGATGTCGCACATTATATTAATACGGTTATTTATTGACGGATATATACGGTACAAAGCCAACAGGAAGTTTGAAATTCTTATATAATTATTTTTGTTATAAAAGCGCCATGAAATATATTGTCCCGATTTTACTCAGATCTCACAGAATGACCGATATGCTCGTAAGAGAATACACCATTTGCACTGGGATCCATTTATTCGGTTTGTGTGTCCTTAAAAAGTTTTATTCCGGTTTCGACAATTTTTGGGCATCTGATGAAATACCTTTAACAATTTGGGCGAAGTTTAATCTGATAACTTCACTGATGCTTGACTTGTGTACTGTAAAGTGAAAGAATCAGATGGAATTTAAAATTTTGTTATATGGTCATCAGACCTGTATGTTTAGATAACCTCACGCACCAAATTTGGTTGAGTAATTCCTGAGATATATGATTTCACCAAATTTCGCGTAAAGGTGGGTGGTGCCACGCCCATTGTCCTATTTTTAAAATTTAATTATTGTGGCGTATTTATTCGTTGAGTTATCGAGCTTTTATATAATCGTATATAGTTAGTAGTATTCTACATAACCGTTCTATGGGGAGTGGGCGTGGTTATTTTTTGATTTTAACCATTTAATATATATATTAGTATTTAGATAAGTGTTGAAAAGACTGCTTGCTATTAAGTTTGTTTGAGTTAGCTTTAGCGGTTTGCAGGATATGTAAATTTAGCTATTTAGGGATTACGGCCACGTTCACTTTTGCAAAATATTTAGCCCACTGGTTTCTCTCTTCCTCTTGCGATTCCATGTATCAAATTACTTATTTGTATCTTAACTTAGTGCTTAGTTATGGCACTTTATATGTTTTTGTTTACGTGCGTGACGGACACACAGTTACCCGGTTTTCAACTTGTCTCGTCATCTTGATCCAATATATATATATAATTCCATATCTATCTCGATTTGTTTCAGGTGAAACAAACAACCGTTAGATAAATGAAACTACATATATTATATTAACTCTGTAGCAACATGTTGCAAGAGTATAAAAAATATACAAAATTTAATTTCATTTTCTCTCAAACAATTTTTGTTTGACGGAAATTTTTCAGTGATATTACCTAGGAACTGTATCTTTTATTAACTAAGAACCCGACCAATTAAATACGATATTTATGCATGTATATAAAAACATTAGTTGTTATTTGCATTACATTGATAAGTCTGTCTTAAATTGGGGACTTGGGCAGTCGTTACAAGTCTATTTAATAGTTTGATGGAGAACATTTAAGGTTGAGCTGATATGCTTTTATGAAGTTTGTGTAATTTTTATGGGTGGCCCTACATTAGACTTTCGCCATTGGGTTTCCAAAAGTATTTCCACACATTTATTGTCTATACGTCGCATGCGTTCAAGTAGCTTCTGTTCTTTGGCTAATTGCAGATGAACACCATCACAAACGCACGAGGTCTTAACATTTTTCTTTGCGGGCACCGTAGAAGACGGTGTCTCTTTATCGATAACAACAGCGAAAGCCCTCTGGCAACGACCTTCAATGCGCAGTTTATTCAATTTTATCCAAACGGCGTCTAGATGTTCGGTTACATACTCTTTTAGCTGTAGCATTTGATATTTGTTTACCTTTGCATCGAGTATATCTTGTATTTCATTCAGAGCTTTAAAAAAGCTGCTATGCACCCTGTCTAATTCGACGCGACACCACTCAAACTCTGATTGTACCACCCCGACAAGTTGAAAACTATCAAATGTTTCATCCAAGCGTTTCATTAATGCACATACCTCACCCTCAAGCACACATAGTTTATTTTCTATTGCATGGTAAGCTTTTAAGATTGGATGACACATGCGCATCAATATGGTCTTCAAAAACGTAGATCTGGCTAGTGTTTCACAAGCAGTTTTCACATCTGGATCGAGTGTACTGCACAAATCCTCGCATAATTCATAGTAATCGTCATCGTCGAAGCGAAATGGCTCTAGAGTGTCAAACCTTTTCAAAAAGCGACGAATGCCTATTAAATGATCACTTAATTTTTCTTCGGTTTCATGGAGCTGCTTCTCCATCTCGTCTACATTTTCAAATTTCTCTAAAACTACATCGAAACTCTCCTCCTTGAAAATAATTGGCGAAATAGAAGTCGTGTGCAACATTTTCTCTATTTGCTTGGCTTCATAGCCACTTATCGACACTTTTTCGTCTTCACAATTTAACTTCTTCAATAGCAGATCCAACAAGCTGTGTAATACCACGGTATTGACTCCGGTCAATTGCTCTCCACCAAGCGCAATATTCGCCAACTGCTGCAAAGTAAAATGACCCTTAGGAAGAGAATCCATTAACCCGTTATGCAATAAACGTGTGAAAAATAAAAGATTTCAAAAAATATGACTGAATATGAAAATAAAATTTCTTTTGTAAAATATTTGACACATTTGTCCAGACGATTCAGTTCATAATATTACAACACATATTTGCGCAGAATGATGGAGATGATTCGCTGTTCGATATCTGTATACTCTCGCAATATGTTGCACAGAGCATAATTTGTTTTGTTTACCTAACGGTTATTTCCAATAATTTAAAGTATTAAAGCTAGATAAAGTGTGTAAATATATATATAAAAACAAGAAAGCTCGGGTACTGTTGTTGGTAAAAACTTAATATTAATAAACGGTTCACAGAAAAAATGGTGCGTAAGAATTCAATATTTATTATTAGACGAAATTGTGATTGGAATATAATCAATATTAATACTTATCTTAATAATTTTTATTTTTTATAGGTAATAAACTTAATTAATCCGGCCCAAAGTTAGCCGGAAGTTTGAAAATCTTTCTTTAGGTAAATGAGTATTACTGGAAGTATTGACAATTTTGGAACACTATTTATGCAAAGTTGTCTCATCGTGCCAATGGTTCCCGTGGTTGCATACAGATCAAATATCTTGTTCCAATGTACAATAGTTGCTTTGCTCTAACACACTGTCCCACATCACACAGATCGGCCATTGATCGGTTCATAGTAATTAGTTTTTTTTAAACTAAATGTATATTTTAGTATTCTTCTCTAAGTTTTATTTGAATGTGCAATTTGAACTGATGCATATTTGCAACGATTGTGCAGTAAGACGCATTTTGAACATCTTTTACATAACGATAACTACTCGATTGGTTTCCAATCCCATGTCTGGAAGTATTACATTCCTCCAATTTCCATAAAAAAAATGTGGTAATTGTTACTGTTGCAGCTAATGAATTTCTTTCTTTAAATCTTGAAGCGCACAGTTCTGGTCCTTTTTTTTTAATAAATTGAACTTATGTATTAAATCACCGAGTTCATTTTGGAAATAAGTGTGGCGTAGAGAATTGAATAATAATATAATTGAATAAAAATTATCAGCATGACGAGCTGAGTCGTTTTACCCATGTCTGTCTGTCCCTCTGTCCGTGTGTCTGTCTGTATATACGCAAACTTGTACCACAGTTTTTGAGATATTATCTGCTCATCTGCCGGATCACTATAGCATATAGCTGCCATACAAACTGAACGATCAAAGTCAGGTTGTTGTATGGAATCTTTAGTATATGTCAAGGTGATTATTGTTTCGGTGCAACCAAAGTTAATCTTTTTTTTGTTGTGTTATTGTATATAAATACCACAAATACAACAAAATAAATAAGAATTATATTTACTTTTTCTTGACGAACTCACGTTTTAAAAGACAACACTATAGGCATTAGAATGAACAGTAGTAAATGAAACAAAGTGATAACCTTTAAAGATTCACTTGCAAACAAGTTCTCTTCATTGTAATCTTGTGATATGGTAATTGTTCTGTGATAAAAAAACGTTGACGCTTTTTGGTACGTCCAACACCAACAATATACCAAAGCAAACCTTAACATCCACAGTTTTAAGCAGTCTTTGAAAAACTTCAAGATTTTTAATCTTTACACATGAATTCCGATCGGAAAGTGGCCGGCTAGAGCCCGTATAACTAGTAAAAGATGAAAATTACTAAGAGTGAAAGGTTAGTAAGAGGTCCACGATTTACCTTGGGCCAAACGAATCTTAGCACTACGCATGTAAACTAACTCGATGCTACAGGTATTGAGTTTAGACATTATTTCACAAGACTCGACTGTACTGTCAGCAAGCTTAAGGCTAGTATTGTCTCCATAACTTTAAGTCCCCTATAAAAAAAGTGAAAATAACCACTCACATAATACGATCGATATTTTAACTTTACTTAAAATCGTGAACATTTGCCTTAGATTTTTCGGTTAAACAAGTTAAAACTTTTGAAAACATAGAACTGTTTTCAAAATTTTTCTAAATTTAAGAATAAATAATCAACTATACATAAATAAAAACCTTAATATAGTACTCTTATGGCACCAAAAGCTCAATTCACTCTGGAAGAAATGGCCAAGATTGCATTAGGCGCTCCAGAACTGACCAGTACGAGTGTCCACGTACTTCATAGACTCATTAATGTGATTCTCAAAAAACTTAATTGCCAGAATGATACGGTTTCGATTTGTGGCGTAGAATCCGACTGCTTGGCTGAGCTCTTGAACAAATCTAAGTCGGCCCCAATCACATTGGACGATACACAGGTATCAATTATTGGGCCGAAATTGTACGCCATCACAGAGCTGGAAAGGTCAATCGAAGAAGTGAAATCCAATCTTGACAACCATATACAAACTGCTAGAAAGTTTGGCCACTTGTCGCAAATGAAATATGACTTAAAAGATTGGGAGAACTTTAAGCCTAATGCAGATAGTACATGTATTCCATGTGTTGAAGAGAACACATTCGCCTGCTATATGATTGGCAATATTGACTTTCTTAAAAAGCTCCAACGCCGTATTGCTGAACCCATGATCCTAAATTTGTTCGAATTCGAGCAAGAGATCAAAGATCTTAGTGAAGATATGAATCTATTGATTTCCAATGCTTCAGCAAATTTGGAAAAATTAGCTTTAATTGAAGGTTGCCTCCGTGCCGTTGAGGATCTAAAAGAGCAGATTGAACAACATAATTTGCGGTTTCTGGGTACCATGGAGGAGGTGCAGGATATATTGGACTTTAAATTGGATAAATTGCAAATCCCTGCGCTTAAACGCTATGTGACCATCAACCTAAGCCGTATTGAGGCACACATAGCGGTCATACAGAATACGGTAGACTGTCCCAAGCCTCCAGGCATCATCAGTAGTGGACTGCGTTGCCTTTCTTGTGGCGATCGAGAGGTTTGTGCTGAGAAAGGCGTTCATGGGATGAGCTTGCTACCGGATGCCCACGCCTTTATGACGGTGCGCATGCCAAAAGTGTGCAAATGTGCGAAAAAATCTCTGAAACTGACTTTAGGTAGGAATCAGACCCTTTTAAATTCAAACATCATTCCTAAGCAGATCAGAAAAACACAAACAGCTGCAGAAATGCCTACTACGAGTGTTTACATAGATAACTGTGAAGCTATTTGCGTAGAGAATTTCAGTTTGTTCGAAGGCACCGATGGGAACCTGTATCGCAAAGGTTAACGACCCGCATAGTTGTGGATGTGTAATCACAATACATGCGTACATACACATATATATGTATATATATATTTGCACATATATTTGAAATAAATGACATTTAGTTTCCTCTCGCATAATTAAGATGGCGTTCTGAAGGTGCTATATTTTAGTTCGCGTCAGCTAAAATAATATTAAAATATAATATATCAGTTAGGTGAATGCGAGCTAATGAAAGTATTGACCCGATTGAATCTATTTTTGACACATAAAAATACCATACTATTATTTATTCAATTATTCATCTCACCCATTGACCGAAGTTTTCGGTAAAACGGCATTATAGGTACTAGGGTCCGTCGCAAACGCGGCAGTATTGCATGTTTACACACCCAATGAGCCAGAAATGGGCCTTATCGCTGAACAAAATTTAAGTCGGATGTTCTTGAAACTTTTCACGAGCCCATAGAGCAAAGCGATGTTGCTTGGGAAGTTCCAGCGGCTTCAGTTCTTGCACAAGCTGTACGCTTTCAATTTAAGATCTCGATGTAAAATGCGCCAAGTCCTCCACAGTCTTCGTGTACACTCTCAGCTATGGCCTCTATATTTGCTTCACTGTGTGCTGGACGAGGTCTATTCGGTCGAATATTATCCAATAATGAATGCTGGGCTTATGTGGATTGGGCGAGATTATCGGTTGATTTCAACCATTTTCACACTGTGGGAAAGGTGCCATGCACACTTTTTAAAAAGATCCATCCACAGGGTTTTCGTTTAACGGAAACCTCCCGTGGGGTTTTTTTTTTTTGGTATTCGAAGGGGGAATCTTCTGAAAGATACTGCCACTAGTGACAGCATGCACGATTCATACCGTACGCTAGGTGCACCTCTTTCGGGACCACGCCCGGTCCATATTTTTTAATATGCCGAACTCGCGCAGCGGTACACCTACGTAATAAACCCTTAACTCCGTCAGCTTCGTATGTACCTAGCGGGACTACCGTAAAGTATTTCTTCGCAAGGTTAGCTTAGCCTATGGGCTCTTCCATCTCAGTGTACTTATACTCTATTTATTGCTCTCATTTCTTTCTTTCGCAGCCGTTCTGCTCTTCTCAGCTCTATTAGAACTTTTGCGGCCAGGTCTTTTACGGCGTGCCACACCTGCTCAGACCGCAGTATATGTGGTACTAAGTTATCCGGTGATACGGGTTCTGCTATCTGTTGTTCTAGCAAGGTCCTTTCCACATTATATCACGGGCAATAGAAATAAATGTGTAGAGCATTTTCATTACTATTACCACAAAACGAACACGTCACTCCGTTATCATGGCCATACTTGTACAGGTATTCTCTAAAGCAGCCATGGCCAGTTGATAATTGCGTCATATAAAAGTCCGTTTGTCCGTGCTTTCTAACTAACCCAGGTTTTCACATTTTTGATAAGCCGGTGCGTCCACCGCCCTTTGATTGTTTCGTCCCAACGGTTTTGCCACTCGTTTAGACTCTTTTGTCTTTCTTCTTTTTGTTCCTCTATTGTCAATGATCTGCCGAGTATTTTGCTGGTATCGTTTATTCGTTTGAGTTCAAGTGCCATTAAATCTGGTGGCATATATAATGCTAACAGCTTCTCGCGATACTGTGAGGAATGCACTGGCTCTCTGAAGGCGCTTAGTCTGAACATTGAAATCACCATTTTGGCATATATTTTATGGGTCAGCGCTTGTGCCCATTCAGGTGCCGCATACAACATAACTGATTGGCTGACTTTTGCTAAAAGTAACCTTCTCGCTTGATTTGGTCCACCTATGTTAGCCATAATTCGCGCTAGTGCCGAAATCATTTGGGCAGCTTTTTCGCAGGTCTCCCATCGATTATGACACCCAGGTACTTTAGAGATGGCTGAGTTCTAATTTCATGCCCGTCAATGTTCAGAGTAATGGTCTCTAGTTTTTTTCTGCTCGAGATCAGGACTTCTTCTGTCTTCTGCCCCGCCAGCTGAAGTTTTGACACGTCGAGCCAGTTTTTAATTTTCTGAGACGTAGCTACACAAACGCTTTGGATTTGGTGCAGCTCTTTTGCTACTATTGCCACAGCAATGTCATCCGCATATCCAATTATTTTCGCTACTTTTGGTAGAGGGAGGCGCAATATTTCATCGTATAAGATATTCCATAACATTGGGCCCAAAACAGAGCCTTGTGGAACTCCACCAGTTACTTCATAACTTTTCACCCCCTCTTCAGTGTCGTATAACAAGAGCCTGTCGGACAAGTCACATCTTATATGTGGCCAGGCTGAATTAAACGCATTTTTTACGTCGAAAGGGATGATTGCGCAGTATTCTTTTGTGCCATGCATCCACCTAGTACTTTCAATTGCTTTATCTGCTATTCCGGTCAGCTTCTTGATTGCGTCGATAGTCGAGCGCTTCCTGCGAAACCCGTATTGGTTGCTAGATAAACCATCTTCAACTTCTTCCAGGTGTGCTTCAAGACGTTCACAGATCAATCGCTCCAGAATTTTCCCAATTGTTTCTATCATGCACAGTGGTCGATATGCACTAGAATCCCCCACCTCCTGTGGGTGCCAACAAATATGTGTAAAAAGTCTCGTCAACATATCTCAAGTTTTCGCCTACACAAACGGACGGAAAAACCGTCACCTGGATTTCAACTCGTCTCTTCATATACTACGTTCGCACCGACACAAAATTCGTGTTTTCATAGACAAAAGAGGTTTTTACGCGAAAACTTGTGTTTTCATCCATACAAAATCTGTCAAACGAAAACGCAGTTTTCGCTGAAAACCCCTTGAAAACTTACATTCCACTCATTATAATCGGTGCCTGCTCTAGTTTAATCGATATTATTAGAAGACATATTTTGCCTGCCTTAACTGTCAGTTGGCAATTTGTTTACATTCCATAATGACCGTCACTGTGTAGGGTACACAACAAATGTCGAAAACACACAATCTCGGTCAGAACGACTTTGGATCCACAATCCACAAATTGTGTTTTCAAGAGGATTTCAATTCGGTGCGAACATAGTAATACTGACCATTTATATATATACGAGTATTTATATATAAACTAGCTATTACACTCTGTAGCAACATGTTGCCAGAGTATAAAAATTTAGAATGCTTCTGACATAACAAAATACTACTTTATGTACCGTTTATATATGGTTTATTTCCCCATTAGTCACTCAATTTCGGTGTACCTATTGTAGTGGACTTTTAAGTATATATCTGAAGTAAACAGTAAGGTAGTATATGTGTATCTGTGAGCTTTTATAGGATGATCCGAGTAGGCTCTCCGGCCACAACTCTGCCAACTCGCGAATCACGGCACTCGTTAGCCAGCGAAATTTTTGTATAATTTTCGTTTTTGGATGGCGGCACTCGCTAGAGAATACACACTTTCAAAATTCCAAATTTGTATTTCTTGGTACGAAGAAATTGGAATCCGACTCGTAAGCTAATTTTCAAACATAATAGTACGAATGTTAAAATGCAAAAATAATTAGTGGCAAAATGTAAGTTATTTTTCTTTTATGGATCCTATTTAACACATATTACAATTATAATTAATGATTTAAGGACACATGTAAACAAAATTAATATGCGCCAAAATTTTTTGATTAGTGATTTCATGTACAGCATCATCAGCGGCTCCACCAGATTTTAAATCTATAGCTAAAACTCGATGCTTGTGGTTACAAATCTTTAAATATACCATATTCGTAAATTTGTAATCTACACATCCAAATATAGGTATAAATACGTATATGTATAACTGATTAGGTAACATAAACACATACATATGTATATATATGCTATCATTGAATTAAACCTATGGTATCCTTTTCTACTGAAAAACATATGTTAATTCGCAGTTGGTTTTTGAATGCCAAAACGTGTAATATTAATACATCTGATACCTAAAAATGTGTATATTTATTTGCACACCTTAAACCACTTACCACCTGGAAGTTTATAACATACCTCTGAACAAAGTATTCTGTGCGGTGAGATAAGTGGTCTGACGAAAACATAATGAAATGTGGACAAAGTTTCGTTTCTATTTTTTTTAACTAGGGGACGTAGTTAATGTTACACACTGAACACATACCAATTAAAAATACGCTAAAAGGGACAAAATCGCTGCTAGTTGAAGCATTGGTGGTACTGCGGTTGATAAATGCCCTTTAAATTTTAATTCCGATAGGATGGAATTAAATGCATCTTTGGTCAGACTGAATCGCTTCCTGAATCTGTAAATAGTTAAACATACTAATTTACACGGTATATACATTTTCTTACACAAGTTCAGGTAAAGCCATAGGATTGCTTTTATCGCGAATTCTGCAAGTTATGATCATCTGATCTGGTGCCTGCAAAAACTAAATTCAATAAATTTCTATATAAACGTATATTTAATTTGAATATTTACGTTTAATTCCAATTTCAATACTTCTTTGTTTTGTTTTGTTTTCGTATTTCATGTTATTCGTAAATGTCATTTAAAGCAATACCAGGGAAGTTAATACATAAAATTTCTATTCGTTTGATAACTTAATAGTAATATTTCGAAGAATCTTTTTCCAGATATTTAAAGAACTGTCTTTATTAAAAAAAATTCATTGCATGTTTGCATAAAAACTACTGCACCTTCTCCGCTCCATTATGTGTTCAATATAAGGCTGCTTAGAGCTTCTGTGGACTCGGGTTAGAATGTTTAGTTTTTATTAGCTTTTATAATTAAGTATGCAAGTATGTGTTTATCTCAAAAATATATTATAAAAAATATATATCGTGGTTACATTCCATATATGAACTATTTTTCGTCAAATCTCGTTGTTACCATTTTAGAAAATGTTTAAGCCTTTTTAGGCTTTGCGATAATAAACGCCATTAGTACCCTGGAATAATTCAAATTGATTGGATTGGACATAGCAAGACTTGGTCATTTCTGTATTTATTACGGCTTCCTCCGTTCTTTCGTTTATGATTTTGAGCCGTTGCAGTAATTCGTTTTCCTTTTCTTTAGCCAAACATGGACCGGTGCGGCTACAACTTTCCGCCATTTTCCGCTTTCTAACGTCTACCACTTCCGCACTGCGTTGCGGCGCAATCAAGATCGGTCTGCGTGTGCAGGTAAGTTCGCCTCTACATGAAAGGCATGTTGTGGGCGTATCTGAGAATGCTTTGGGAGTGTCGCAGCTATCTTTCTTCTTTAGCATGTTACAAACTTCATTGATTTTTTCCGTTTCGGTCTGTATGTACTTCTTAAGCGTGGGTAAAACCACCTTATACATTTTTCCATCCATCATCCTCTGTAGTTCTTCCATGGCATGCTGAAAGGATCTCTTCTCCAAAGCAATTAGTTGACTGAATTTGTCAATGTCTGTCGCGATGTACTCAATATATGACCAAAGCTTAGACTTTTCATCTAAACGACGTCGATAGTCTAGTAATTGTACATGTAATTCCTCTATGCGTTTCCTCATGTTCAGAATCGGACCGATGACAGGCTCTTCAACGATCCGCTTAACTTTGGTAATGAAGTTGTAATTTTCCAAAAGATTACAATACACGTCAGTCTCAGTTTCGGCGTTAGTACAGTACCACTCACAAGGTCCGCAATACTTGGACCAATCATTTAAGGAATACATGTCATTGTCTTTATTATTGCACGCGCGTATTTCCTCTAAATGCTCGTTCAACTGATCCTCGAGATGCTTTTGATGTTCCCGCAAATGTGTCAGCTTTTTCATTTTGTGCGAGAGCAGTTCCACTTTATCGGTATTGAATGGTAAGCGCGCTATTCTACTCTTTCGCAAGAGTAATTGCAAACATGCCGCCTCCTGGCCGTCCATTTCCACCTTTTCATATTGGCAGTCGAGCTTCTTGAGCAATATATTGAAAAGACAATGCAATATCGAGATATTAATTTCATTAATTTTCGGTGCGCCTAGCGCCATTTGCAACATCTCCTTCAAGCTTACTTCAATATACGTTGTGGTCATGGTGTTTCTAGAATAAACTATTTAATTAACGCGCAAGTATGTTCGTACATACATACAGAGGCCTTTTTGCTGAAACACAGTTAAATGCTTTGCCTCATTACTCGGTGAAAGAAAACAAAACAATTTTGACTTGAAAAATATCTGCTTCTGAGTAAAACTACCCTATCTATAAAGTGATTCCCGTATAGATGCCTATAAAATTATTCATCACCTTTTGTGCTTACCATGACTTTATTAAGGCGATTAATATCAATCCCAGCAAATTCGCTAGGTTCTCCAAAGTTGTGTCTACCGAGATATTTCAATCTCAGTGTGGCAAAAGCTGGGCAATAAAGAAGGAAGTGACAAGATGATTCCAACTCGCCTTCTTCCATACAGCTTTGGCAAAGAGAGTCCGACAGAATATTTAGCCGAACCGCGTGTAAACATATAATATATATTTATAAATCCCAAACATATAATCAAGAATTAGAAAAAAGAAATTGTTTTAGAATTAAGATTTTTGTGCGTTAGTGTACTTTATTCATATTTTTGAATAAATAAAATTTTTTATTTTTAATACCAAAAATCTTGGAATAAACAAAAACATAAGAATTAAAAAATAAAAATTGATCGAAATTGAAAAATAAACATTTTATTTTTAATCCGAACATCGGGATTAAAATATATAAGCAAAATTTTTCAATTAAAAAATTCGCAACCCTGACTGCTACTAAGTCACTCTTATCTATTAAGACTTCAACTTTTGAAATTAAAATATTATAGAAGAGATGAATCTAACAAAGGCATCAGAACACGATAAAATAACTCCAAAAATGCTAATGGAGCTACCAAATATTGTAAATTCATGGTAAATGAAGTAGATCATCATTCTAGATAAACCCGGGAAAGGCCTTTTATATAAAATTAAAACATTATTCCTTTTCGAATTGTATGTTATAAAACATTGTAGTCTTATTAAAAAAAATAGGAAATTTTCTCTCAAAGAAGCCAATTTCATATTACAAGTATATGTACGACCGATAAGAGCTGGTGTACCTCAAGGGAGTGTGTTAGGCCCAACTGTATATATCTTATATACAGCAAATAACCCAACCGATAATAATGTATTGACATAGACATTTGCGAATAACACAGCCTTAGTATGCCGTAATAAATGTCCTATCAGAGCGCCAAAGGTACTTGAGGAGCATGAACAGAACTGTAAGCATATTACATTTTCACTAAGACCAAAAATGTGTCAGCCGATTAAAATTAATAATGCACTACTACCACAACCAAAGGATGTAATTTAAATAGGCATTCACTTGGACAGAAGGTTCACAAATAAAAAACCTACTGGCTTTTAAATAAAAATTCAAAACTTAGCCTTGACAACAAAGTTCTACTATACAATGCGATAACATTGATATAATACATAGGTTCCTCTCAAAAATATTTAGAGCTATAACGGGTTCACCATGGTACATTCATAATGAAAATAGTAATAAAGATGTTGGTATTCCTATGGTAAAGAAAGAAGTAGATGACGGCAGAAAGAAATACGAAGTTAAGCTCCGTAATCATCCAAGTCAATTAGCTAAGACCTCGCTACATTCCTGTAATCAAACTTGCTTCAAAAGAAAAGAACTACTAGCCTTCTAAAAAGCAACCTATCACCTAATAGGCTCAAGTAGAACCCTGAGATTGTCTAGTTTTTAATAGATTTAGGCTTTTGTAACTTATTGTTAGGCTTTGAACAAGCAAATTCAATAAATAAATATATTGTAACCAAAAAACGAAACCAAAAAGAACCTTCTTACACAAGTTATATGGGGGCTAGGGGGTATTTGGACCCGATTTTACACAGTTTTAGTTGTACGACATATCAACACTAGAAGTATAAGCTCTCTGAATTTCATTAAAAAGCTTTACAGATAGACCACTATATAAGGTATAAAGTACAGCGGTTGCTTAAAAATTCTTATACCATATTATGTATACGGGGACTGAGTATTGCCATTTTTGACAAAATGAACACTGCTATTTGAAAGAAATTATTTGTGAAATCTCAATTCTTGCTCAAGTTATCGCTTGCACGGACAACTCAACTCGTTTGTCATCCTGAACAATTCTAACTGCAGATGCCCCTCCCTAATGTGATCCTGTGTACCAAATAACAGTCTTGTATCTTATTGCGGAGCTTAGTTATGGCAATTTATTTGTTTTTGATTAATGGCGTTTTGTGGGCGTGGCAGTGGTCCGCCCATCTGCAATACCAACCGTCTCAGGGTACCAGGAAACATGCCTACCAAGTTTCATAAAGATATCTCAATTTTTACTCAAGTTACAGCTTGCACGGATGGACAGACGGACGGACGGACAGACAGTCACCCGGATTTCAACTCGTCTCTTCATCCTGATCATTTATATATATATAACCTTATATCTAACTCGATTAGTTTTAGATGATACAAACAACCGTTAGGTGAACAAAACTATTATACTCTGTAGCAACAGGTTGCGAGAGTATAAAAAAACTTGTGCAGAGAGATGCTATGACTTTAAATGTACTGCTCTCTTAAATTATTTCAGATTATAAACTGCAAACATTTGTAACAAGACGCGAATTTATTTATTTAAACAAATTTTAACAATAAATGAATTTTGACGTTAGCCATTGCAAAAAATTTAAATATCTATATATATTGGCACGACCCAGGCTAAGAGTAAAGTTGCTTGCAGTATCAAGGAACGCCCCAAAATATTTGCTGTTGTTAACGCCAAGAATTTGGATGAAACTGGCCCCTTGAAACTGTTCGGAACTTCTTTGTTTCGAGCGTAGATACCACGAAACAAGCCACAATTATGGAAGAGAAATATTGAGAAACGCTTACTATACTCCAAAGAGTTTATCCACAGTGATAACGAGTTTTGAGACTCTTTGATTTTTAAAGATGAGTCTAAATTTCATTTATTTAGATCTGGTGGTCGTCGATTTGTATGGTGTAAGGAAGCTCTTGAACTTACACAAAACTTCGTGCATTCTATGAATAATAGACTGCAAACCGAGATAGAGAGCAAATGTGCACATACAAAATATTAATTTTCCTTAAAGAGTGTTAACATATTTATTTATGCAAACTGGACAAGTTTTTGTTTGGTCTTCGAAAATGGAGTTATTTTGTATATTACTATTTTTTTGGACAAAATTGGATTTTTAAAAATGAATTTCAATTGCATAAATCGGTATTTTTCTCACTTTTGGATGCAACTTAAAAGTTGTAATAGTTTAGGAGATAAGTCACCTGGAAGCATCTCCTTGTACAAGTTTTTCTTTTTGGTTCACTGTATATGGTATACCATATAACTCCATATCTATCTCGATTGGTTTTGGTTTTTGAAAACAACCGTTAGGTAAACAAAACTACTCCCTAGCAACATGTTGAAAAAGTATAAAAAATCAAATACAACTATAAAATAGCTACTTTGGCAACACTGGACACCAAACAGTCGCCTGTCTGTTAGTTGTTCATTGAAAATACGAAAATATTTTCACTCGGGCGACATTTTGTGTTTACGAATAAGTACTTTACCAATAAGTTTATTATATTTTCATAAAAGTTTTAAAGACCAAAATCCTGACGTACTAGATTGATGCATAATGGCAACAACATATATTGAATTAACTCTCCACGAGCTTTTGCAAATCGCTTTGGGTAACCCGAAAATTTACAGTGTTCACTTGTCTTTGCTCCAAAGTTTCTTTGACATACTACTGAAGAAGTTAGATTCACGAACTGAGAAGATTGAAATTGTCGGCAAGATGAGCACCTGCTTGCAAAAAATCCTTAGAGAAAGTCGTATATCGCCGTATAATTTTGAATGCGCCAAAGTCCAAACATTTTCCGAGAATTTGGCAAAAGTGGAGCTTCTTAAAGAACGTGTTCGTGTATTGGAGAACAAACTGACGGCCCACTTTAAGCAAATACGGGATGACGAAGGCATACAGAGCACGCATTATAGCACCGGCAATTTCGAAAAATTCGCTGAGGCTTGCGAGAGCTTTTGTATATATCCCAAAGCTGAGGACACTATTGCCTGCAAATTATTAACAAATACACACTTCGTTGTACATCTGATTGATAGTGCCATATCGCCACTGCTCACCGAAATGGATAGCAGACGAAAAAGACTTAGCGACTTGCATGCGAAGTTTGCCGATTTCAAAGATCGTTTAAATAAGGAGCTTGCTGAATTGAATGAGAGTTATAATCGTTGCATAATCACCGAAAAATTGCGAGTAGATTTTGAAAGTGATAAGGTCACACTTGAGATGACAAAAAGTGAAATACACAATATGTTGTTGGCTAAATTGGACAAAACCGAGATAATATTTATTAAGAAAAAATTCCACGAGCAACTAAGAAATATAAATAGAGAATGGAATAAACTGCAAACTTTACTCAAGAGGAAAATGGAAGTGAAAAAGGTTATTGGTCCAAACCAATGTATCTCATGCCTGGGACCAGTTCATTGCATCAGGGAACCAACTAAACCGATACCCTTGAAAAAGTGTGCAGAGGAGAAAAACAGTGAAGAACGAAAGGAAAAGAATTGTTCAAAAATCAAAACGTGTGCAAACTTGGTTCTAGATGAACATTAAAAACAGATGAAAACATATAAATTTATAATAATATATACAGCATACAAACAAACATCTTAGTACATTCATACAATACCAAACAATGATCCACTAAGTCAATTTTTGGTGAATGCCATCCAAGAAGAGGGTTTGAAGGAAACACTATAAGACATATTGTATTATTATTAGGTATCATTATCAAAGGCTGTACCTTTAAATTTCTGCGTACTTAAATCTGTTTCTGTCGGTTATGACGTTTTTACAGTACATCTTGTAAAATGAAAGGGCTAAACTTAATTTCTTTATAAAAAGGTGACAATTGAAGATTTTATACGCTAGCAAAGAGCACAATCATGTTTGGTATCTTATATTATTATATTACAATATTTTGCTGCATATCCGATATATTTGTATTAAAAGCAATCTAATTAATAAAAATTATATATTTGTGATATGAACTTAACCAAAGAGATTAAAATTAATATATTGAGCATATAAGGAAAAATCGACCAATGAAAGGGAACCCATTATATTAGGGATATGGGGCTAAGGCCACGGTCTAGATCGATTTTACTCATATTCAGCGATAAACACATTATACTTATAAATATATTTAAATATCACATACACTCTGACCGACATAGTCAAAATTCTGCTTAACATATATGGTAGCTAAGGTAATTTGTGCAATGTTTTATCCCAATATATTATTTGATGCTTGATTTGTATACGGTAAGGTAAGAGAATCTGAAATGGAATTTAAAATGTATTTTATGGTACCGTTACACAGAAATGGCATGATAATGTTAGGTACCGAATTTGGTTCATATTAGTCGAGCAGGCCCTGAGATATAGTCCAGTCATTATTGTAAGTTCACCTCGGAATTCAGATACCCAGCTGTAAGTCTGTAAATACTTGTATATTGACACCCTAAAAGTTGTCTCAAAACCTACATATGGTAGGGTGTACGCAACTATTAAAAGGTCAAAGGTCACAAAAATCGGTTTTTTGCGCTTTTTTTGTAAATATCTCATTTCCTATGGGTTTTTTGCTATTGGTATTTATTATCAATATTGTAGAATACAAAATTCTGGTGAACCGTTTTCGAGATAGAGGGCTTAGAGCGCGCGGTCACAGCATCACTTCAGGTCAACCGGTGCCTCCGATCAAAAACGCGCCATATATAGTTGATGAACTATCGATAAATCAATGATTATAAATATTTGTCAATTTTTATTAACTCTTATATTATATTTTATCATTTTCTTCATGCCTTAAATCTTTATCTATTCAATAATACTGATCACCGTTTCCTAAAATTAAAAAATAATTAAGGGAAAAACTTAAATCTTACTATAATTATATTCCCATTAACACTAATGACATTTTAATTAGAAAATAATTAAGTGCATCTTCTTTAAAATCTGTAAATTTGTAAATAATAGGACAATATTACAATTTACTCATCATTTTAATTGGGCGTACACTGTCTTACGAACAAGAAATTTTATTTAAAAAAGTTGGGAAAGGCAATGTAAAAACGTAGGAACTCGACTAAAAGTTTTGATAATTATCCTCATTCCAAAACACATATTTTATTTCTGCACGCATTAAGTGGATGTGACACAACTTCTGCGCTTTTTAAAAACGGAAAAAAAACATTTTTTAAAGTTTTTGAGAAACTGACCAATTTGGATGAACTAGCTGCAGCATTTGAGGAAGAAAATTGTTCGGCCCAGAGATTATTAGAGAGTGGAACTCAAACCTTATTGGCAAATTATAATGCTCCGAAATCTGTGAAAAGTCTCGATCATCTTCGTTATATGTGATTACGTCAAGTCTACAAAACTTAATAAACCTGTGCAGCTTTCAAATATTCCACCAACAAGTGCAGCTGCTCATCAACATTTCGAACGCGTATATTATCAAGTTCAAACTTGGTTAGGGCATGATTTGGAACCCCAGGTATGGGGTTGGGCAATGCGAAACGATTTTCTGGAGCCTATCATGACAATTTTACCACCTGCTCCAGAACATTTGCTAAATACAATTTTCTGCAACTGCAAGAGTGGTTGTGGTTCGCGATGCGGATGCAGGAAAGCGGGCTTGCAATGCTCTTTAGCTTGTGGCCAATGTAATGGGCAAGCTTGTCTCAATGCTCTACCATATCAGAGCGACATTAACGAAGATGGAACTTTTGACCCCGAAATCATGAAAGAACTTGAAACAAATGTCGTTGAAGACGATAATGAAGACCAGTTTGAAATTTACCAGCAGCCGGAAGACGACGATGAAGAGGAAGAAGATGATTAAAATTATAAATTGTAGTTTTTGTACCCTTTATTCCATTTTTTTACTTTTAATAAAAATAAATGTATTGAATGATATTTTTTAATAAATGAATACTGAATAAAAAGTGGATAGGTTAGGAAAAAATGATAAAATATAATATAATAGTTAATAAAAATTGACAAATATTTATAATCATTGATTTATCGATAGTTCATCAACTATATATGGCGCGTTTTTGATCGGAGGCACCGGTTGACATGAAGTGATGCTGTGACCGCGCGCTCTAAGCCCTCTCGAAAACGGTTCACCGTATGAAAAAAATTTTTAAACAAAATTTGTAGAGAATTTTGTATTCTACAATATTGATAATGAATACCAATAGCAAAAAACCCATAGGAAATGAGATATTTAAAAAAAAAAACGCAAAAAGCCGATTTTTGTTACCTTTGACCTTGAAATTTAATAGTTGCGTACACCCTACCATATGTAGGTTTTGAGACAACTTTTAGGGTGTCAATATGCAAGTATTTACAGACTTACAGCTGGGTATCTGAATTCCAAAATTCTTACCTAGTTTAAGCTTAAATTACTGGACTAATATAGGATTTTACCAAAAGGTGGGCAGTGCCAGGTCCATTGTCCAATTCTGATACTTGCTGCTGTGAAGCCCTTTCATGCCAGCTGAGGTGTAAAATTAAATGTTTATTTAATGAGTTATCGCATATATTAGTAGTTTTAAACAAATTTTTTACGGTGTATTAAACCTCTTAAAGAGCGAAGACACCTAATTTTGCAAAATTTTTCAAACCAAAGATGTCTCAACTTTATGTGATTCGTCGTACTAAAAAACAGTTTTATATTAAATTGTGGAGCTTAGTTATGGCACTTTACAAGTTGTCGTTTAGTGTCATTTAGTGGGCGGGCCCATCTGAAATATAAACCTCTTGCAAACGCAAAAAAGCTTGTCTACTAAGTTTCATCACGATATCTAATTTCTTACTCAAGTTATCCTTGCACGGATACATGGGCGGACTAGTCTTGTCATCTTGACCATTTACATAATTATTACTCTATATCTATCTCGATTAGTTTTAGGTCTTCCATGTTTCGAGATTATGTGTAATAAGAGAGGGTAACAAGTGGCATTTTGAAATTTGGTTATTTCCATATCTTTAGGCAATTTAAAGACATATACTTGAATTATCGTATGGACGAACAGCGAGAATATAAGACAGATATCTAGAAAACTTTCACCTAAGTTTTCAACCAATTTCATCGAACCACAAACACGCTTACTTTGCATTCAAACAGTTTTAAACCTCCTCCGTTTTGTTGAATTTATTTACAGAAATTTAAAAGTTTATCGGCTACACCTTACATATAGTGCTACATATAAGTTAACCGAAAGTTCGAAAATCTTTATATTAGGTACGTGGGGGCTAATGCAAGATTTTCCCGATTTACTCGATTTTACCCTGATTATCGCGCTTCCTAATACGATTTGTTGTAGCAAGTAAATGTTCTGTGGCACTTTATACATACGTTTCCGATTAATAGCATTTTGTGAGCAAATAAAACAAATTGTTTACCTAAGTGCAGTGAATAAGAGGAGGTTAGACAATTCCTCCCTCGCCCAGAGTTATTAGAAGGGTCGGTGCTCTGCAACAATTTTTTTCACTACAATCATTTCCAGGCCTGGGTTTTCCCTCTACGGCCGTGTCTAAATGCCAACGTACTCATGTAAAAAATTCACACTTCACAAATTAGCTTGTGTGGTACTAACATTTTGATGTTTTATAAGCTAAAATATGTTCCATTGTGTTTCGATAGCCATTCCAGCTTAGAAAACTGCTTGGTCAAAATATCGGCAATGGCTGTTATGAAAAATACCGAAATGGTGGCTGTAAGTTCGTTCATTCTCAATTTATTTTGAAGTGTACACCCCTGAGATATTCACTTCACTAACGTATAGAATCGCTATAATTATTAGAATGAAAATGCGATTTATTTCGTGCATAAGATTTTATTACAAAAAAAACACTTACAATTTTTAAAAATAGATAATTATAATTTATTTTTTTGAGGGTACTCGAACTGTACGCGTACGAGCTGTCCGAATAATATCCACAGTAATATACTTATATTGTATACGTAGCGCGCTGGATCGCTTTCTTATCCAATGTTTTAGGTTTATGTGGCACTCAGGCGTGTAGATGTAAACGAAAGTGTTTAAGCGAATGAAGTTTGGGCGATGATCCCGTCCTTTTTGTTAAGTTGCTGTTTGGTGTGTCATCATGTATAGTGTTTTCAAATGTAGAGTGTGATGTGGTGGGTCGCATGTGGTAAGAACCTGTGGGTGTTTTCAGGTGTGGTACGTTGCATTAGGGTGCGCCCTAGTACAATTATGCATGGGTAAACAAATTTTTAATATGGCTTCACAGTCATGCTAGAATACGCCTTATTTTAAGTGACTAGTAACTTTAGTTTAACTTCTTTTTTTAATTTGTTGGCTCATTTTGCTATCGCGACGGATGTGTAGCTTCCTTTAATTTTCACTTCCACCACTTGCTTTTGCCGCTCACGGCAAGCGATCACAAACAGTCCAGCATAATTTAGTACTGCTTCCGCAGCTCTTTTCGAAGAAGGATGCAAAACAATTCTGCACTTCCTCTAAGGCATCCAGGAATGTTGTTGGAAGGGAAAAATATTTAAGAGGGCTATTTAAAAA